ACAGTCTTGATAGCAAGAAATTTTTTGTACTTTATTTTGGTGGTGTTGGTTTTTGTTTTACTTTATTTGCTTATAAAGTATAAGAAGGGAATATGAGATATCCTTTCAGGATATAACTTGGTGTGATCTAGCTCATGGAAGTGCAAGCTGGAGTCAGAACTATTCATTACTTGCTGGTAAATGCTCAAAGATAAAACTGATTAAGATATGTCATAAGTGAATTGATTTTATAATTTACTACAAGTCATTCTTCCTGACTCTTCTTAATCCCAGTCTTCAAACAATATCAGAGGTTAGCTGTTGATGTATATTTATAATATTCAGAATGATGTTGCTGAATGTAAAATGCAAGATACTGACTTTCAGGAACTCTTACTTTGTAGAAGATAAGTTCAAGCATTTTCAAAATTAAAATATTTTCAATAATAGATGAGTTTGCATCCTATGAACACATAATCTCGTCAAGCATTCTTACAAGATTGGAAGTGAGTATATAAAATTGTAGTGTTTGGCCCATAAATCTGTTATTAAGAGCATTCAACATTAATCCGTATATGATTTGAAAAAGTTATTGATCTCTTTTCTTTAGATATCTGAGGTCCAAAGCAGCTGGAGATCACCAACTCCCTCTCTGTGTGACATCACTAGAAAGTGCTAGACTGGTAATGTCACACAAACTACAGAACCCCGCAGCAGAATGGAGCAGGCCTATTCAGGGTAAGTTTCCTCCCTCCACCACCACCCTTTTCAACAATATTGCATGGTTTTATAAGATAACTAATTTTCTTTACTTTATGTCCCTGGGATATAAAGTAAAGATTACAGACAATCTTATAAAACTGCATAATATTGTGGTGCTGTGTGTGTGTGTTTATTTAAAAGCAAAACAAAAATGCCTATAAAAAATTCAGTCCTTACCCCATGTATCAATATCCTGGCTCCAGTCTGCTTTGGGGTTCTATGATAAGTATGCCAGAATAGTGTATGTTGGGGCATCAATCACAGAGAGTGGAGTCAGCATTTCCTGGCTGCTCTGGATGTCAGAAACCTTGTTTTAAAAGGTAAGTTTTCAGTTGAATCTCTGCATTTATATGGAAATATTCAGATTCATCACATTTCTAAAATGTGATTTTATTGTATTTTCATTTTTAAAATTTRCTTGTAACTTGATACAGTCCAAAGTCACAGTTTTTACTTCTCTGTCTAGTCCTTTTTTCCTCATATATTTCCCTGTGTTAATACCTTATATTGTTTCCAGAAAAAAAAATCTTGTTTGTCACTACTTGGAACAAGATGGTAACTAAATTATGTTTTAGACAATTTCAATGATCTGGTTCAAGGGGATCAAGGACACCCTCAGTCAGTTCCCAAGCAACACCAAGCTGGGTGTGAGTGCTGATGTGCTGGAGGGCAGGAAGGCTCTGCAGAGGGATCTGGCCAGGCTGGATCATGGGCCAAGGCCAAGGGTGTGAGGTTCAACAAGGGCCAGGGCCGGGTCCTGCCCTGGGGTCACAACAACCCCAGGCAGTGCCACAGGCTGGGGCAGAGTGGCTGGAAAGCTGCCCACAGGAAAAGGACCTGGGGGTGCTGGTGACAGCGGCKGAACATGAGCCAGGGTGTGCCCAGGTGGCCAAGAAGGCCAATGGCATCCTGGCCTGGATCAGCAAYRGTGTGGCCAGCAGGGCCAGGGCAGGGATTGTCCCCCTGTGCTGGGCACTGGTGAGGCCACACCTCAAACCCTGTGTTCAGTTCTGGGGCCCTCACTGCAAGAAGGACGTGGAAGTGCTGGAGTAAGATCAGAGAAGGACAACAGAGCTCCTGAAGTGTCTGAAACACAAATCCTGTAAGAAGCAGCTGAGGGAGCTGGAGATGTTGATGGAGAAAAGAAGGCTCGAGGGAGACATTGTTGCTTTCCACAATTGCCTAAAAGAAGGCTGTAGCCAGGTGGGGGTCGGCCTCTTCTCCCAGACAACAAGTGCTGCATGTTATGTATGGAAATAGATATTTGGAGGTCTGGCCTGAACCTCCAAAGCTTCAGCTTGTAGCTGATCTCTTAGGTCCTCTGGTATTTCTGAGAATTTGCTGGAGACATTTGTGAAAACAAGTTTATTATCTATAGAAATTAGTAGGCAGCTATGTGATAGGGAGTTGATAGGCAACTATGTAATAGGGAGTTAAGACATGGCTTTATTTATTACTGATTTGCTTTTTCCCTCCCCACTGAATAAAAGACAAACACAAGACTGTATTAGACAATCAAGTTGCATAGGAATAGAAATTCTAAATTTTGTAGTGAGGGTCTTAAGATTATATGAATTTTTTTTATGTCTCTTTTTACTATTTAATATTTAAGGAATAGCATCTAGCCTTCATATGTTGGCATGTAAATCAACCTGAACTGCAATAATTTTATAGATAAGTTTTTGGTTTGGTTTTTTTTTTTTTTACTTCAGTCTTTTTTGGCCTATATTTGTTCTGTCCTGAGTAATTCTGAGGAAAAAGGGTTCTTCTCATGACTTAAATTTGTCCATGCTTCCATAATAGGTTTATTGTCAATTCTAAAACCCCACTAAGAAAGATAAGTAATTGGAATAAAGGGAAATAATTAATTTATGTTTTTTTAAATTATGWTACTATAAAAATTCCATTAAAATTACTTGGAATTGTGATTCCCTTCTGCCTTTTTCTCTACCCTGTTGAGATCCTTCTGAAGGGCTTCATGGCTCTCTGGGGTCTCAGCCTCTCCTTCCAGCTTTGTGTCCTCAGTGACCTYACTGAGAAGGCCTCTGCCCCTTCATCCGAGTCACTGACAGAGAAATTAAACAATACTGGACAAATATTGACCCTTTGGGTGGGGATACCACTAGAGACAGGCCTCCAACTAGAGCTAGCTGTAGAGTTAGGGGGTATGAGTTAGTTAGGTTTTTATGTTTGTTTTTGTAAGTAGGGAGAAAAGTAAGATATTTGTTTTTCTGTGAAGTATTAATGAAATCATTAAAGTCTTGAGGTCTGTTCTTGACTAAATATTGTACATGTGCTGGCTTCGTAACAGTGCCGCTTAAAATTTATTAAGTGGTCAGCTGATGCTTAGCTTTCTCATAAATAATCTTTTTTTTTTTTTTTTCCTACAAAAGCCAAGATCTTAGCCTTATTTAACAACAAATTAATCTCAGAAATTAATAATTTCTTGGGGTTTTCACTTTGTGGCAATTTTTCATATCTTCTAAAAATTACATTTTCACACATCTTTGGTATATGAACTGCATATATAGCATTTCTATTTCACAGTAGTAGCATTGCTTATTTTTGCTATTTGATTCTTGGTTTGAGACAATGAAGTAATACTCTGTAGCATATAAATTCATTCTTTTAAAACAGTCTGCAGAATGCTGKCTGTCTTACAAGAAAAATTAATCTGTGCACATAATATTCTTTCATATGTTAACAATTAATTCTGTTGCTTGCTGATATTGAGAGATGATTCTAAATGCTCTGGTAGGCTACAGTATACACAAGGTCTGGTTTTTGTTGTAGCAATTAGTGATGGGTTTTATGTGTATGACTGGCCACAAGTGAAGGAAATTGTAATACAGTTTCCTGTCATTATGTGGCATAATCTCCTACTTAAAATCTTTGCTTTAGTAATTTTAATTGGAGAATGAAGGAGCAACTGTTTGTTTTGTTGTGTAACATGTAAATGATTATCCATAAAAAAATAGATACCTGGTCTTCAAACAAGCATTCAACCTGAGTGATCTTGCTGTGTGTTGGAGAGATCTGCTGAAATGTGTAGAGAGAAATTGTTCCAAAGTCCTTAAGAAGATGATTCCTGTAGACTGCTGAAAGGCAGCTGTGTCAAGCTTTATCCAGATTTTCCTGCCTTGCATTTCTTGATGTTCTAGACCACAGGAGGCTGTGAAGGATATGTGCACTGTCAAAAGCTAAATATGTACATGAAATAAAGAAGTTTCTAAGTCTTGTTTCATTTTCTTGCAGAAGCATTGTCTACTGTTTAATATTTTTTTCTGACAAGTCAAGAGCTAAAATCCACATCTATATAAAATGTAGGGAGTTAGTAGAGTGGCAGAAGTACTATACCACACTTCTTTTACAGTTATACATACACATATTGCTCAGTTTTTTATGCAGTGAACTACAGAATGAAGTTTTGAGAAGAAATATGCACGAGAGGTATCTGTGAGCTTTAAGGAGCGCTTCTGCAGCACCGTGGCCAGCATGGTTGTCATTTCCCAATGTCTTCTCTTCTTATTCAGACTTTCTAGATTTATGAAAATATGAATATAAGATTCATACATCATTTTGAAAATAAAACTATTTTAAATTACACATTTGAATTAAAAGCTTAAAGGATTTTCTGTTGGAAAACTGGTATTTGCTGCATAGACTGTTGCTTCATAAAAGACTAATTTGCTAAATTTCTCTTTTAAAAAAAGCTTCTTTTCTATAACTTTAAATAAATGTAATGGAAAAACTGTGAGTTGTTATCCTTGAAAATTGTAGTAAGTTTCTTTCTTTTGCAAATAATAATGTTATAATTTATACCACTTCTCACATATGAGATTATGGTGAGCTTTTCTGTAAGAATTGTATCTCTGACTCAGAAAAGTGAGCATACCTGGTTGATTTCCCTGATCTGAGTGGATTACTGCTTGTGTTAGCTACTCATTTAAGCAATTTTAAACACATGATGTATTTGTAGAATCCCATTTCCATTTTATTTTGACCTGTAAAAAAATGAGCGTCCTTGCACTATTATTTTTGCTAACTGGAACATTATCTCTCTGTAGTATTAAAAAAAAAAAAGTAATAATGTCTTACATAGATTAATATTAGATGTAATGCTGAAAATTTCCAATCTTTTCTTCCAGCTATTCTCCTCACATGCTGTATTAGTGTACCAGGATTATTGTAGTACCAGTACAATCTTAACAAGGTTTCGGTCTGGTGCAATGATAAATAAATGGAATTTGTGTTTTCAGGGAAGATGGTACCACCGAAAGCAAGCAGTAAAGGAATTGCATGGTACGTTGTTACGACTGCTTAATGAACTGTTACCATGGGAATCAAAGCTAATTAAAGCATTTCAAAGAAACAGGTAATTGCCTGCTTTTTTTTTTCTTCAACTGTATGCATGGAATAAAAAAACAGAACACAATTTACTTTTTAAAAACTGATTAATAAGTTGGCATTTTAAATAAATGACATTAAAATACTTTGAGGAGAAAAGTGAGGCACTCACAGTACTTTAGTTGTAAGAAGTATTTTATATTCCAGAGTTACTGTCTCTAAAAGAGTTGAGCTTAACCCCCCTTAATGTTTTTTTCCTCTAAAACACTCAAGAATCCTTAAGCATGCCGATCAATAGTATATCATGATACAGCAATAATTTGTATTGATGGTTATTTGGTTAAGAAATAAAACTTTTCTCTAGAAAACTATGCCAGGGCTTCTTAGACTATTCTGACTGTTTACTGTCTAAAGGTATCTAAATTAGCTGTTAATGAATTCTCCACAGAGCAATTTTTGAAGCATTGTTTTGAGGTCTTTGCAACCCAGTAAAATAGGAAACCATCTTGAAAGAAGTATGTCAGAAGAATACCAGTGAAGCAGTGACAGCTTTAAATCTAGTAAAGCACAAGTGCACAAGTAACAATGAAGATGCTACCCTGATTATAAATCAKGGAGAGATTAGATACTGTCTTGAATCTCAGTGCCATTCTTGCCTGGACAGCTGTACAGCTGTTGCTATAATCGTACCTTAATTTTGCCGTGTAGGCAATTAAAAAGCAAGAAATGATTAGAGGCTTGCACTCTGTGACAGAGGGTAGAAAAAGAGGAAAAGAGATTGCTTCTTACATGTTGAGTGTGAAGGAAGAAAGTTCCACTGTTGGGTGGTACAGAGCTTTCGCTGAAAAGAGTAAAAGATACTATGTTTAAAAAAACTCAACAGTGTAATGCCAAAGACATTATATTGGTTCCTCAGTGGTTCAGTAGTAATTCTTGAATGATTGAAATTCTTATTTAGAAATATGGAATGGTGTTGAATATTTTGCTTTAAATAGACCCAAGTACAAGTTTTGAGGGTTTTTTCTATTTCTTTCTATTCTCATTTCAGTTCATTTTTGTTAGGTGTTCATTTCTTCCTGTCTTTCACTATTCAGAATTCTTCTGGAAACATGGCAGGTGGTATTACTGTCAGGAAGAATTTAATTTTCCAGTATGTGGAGTTCACAATTTTATCCTTTTTGTAAATTCTGCAGTTGAATGGTTTGATGCCCTATTACTTCTTGTTTGTTGARTCATAGAATGGTTTGGGTTAGAAGGGACCTTAAAGGTCMTCTAGTTCCAATCCTCCTRCCATGGGCAGTGACACCTTTCATAGACCAAGTTGCTCAGAACCCCATCCACTCTGGCCTTCCAAAGATAGAGCTTCAACAATTTCTCTGGACAGTGTGTTCCACTGTCTCCCAGCCTCGCGCTTCAGAATTTCTTCCTAATTTCTATTCTAAACCTACTCTCTGTCAATTTGAAGGTGTTGCCCCGTATCCTGTCACTACAACCTCTTGTACAGGTCTCACCAGACTTTTTGAAGGCTCCCTTTAGGTACTGGAAGGCTGCAATTAATTSTCCTTGAAGCTCCCTGTTTTCCAAGCTGACCAATCCTTCTCAAAAGGGAGAGGGACAGTAGTCTTTCTTCACAGGAGAGGGGTTCCATCCCTCTGATCATCTTTGTGGCCCCCTCTGGACTCACTCCAGCAGTTCCATGTCCTACCCRTGCTGGGACCCCAGAGCTGGATGCAGCCCTGCAGGTGGGGTCTCAGAGAGCAGAGCAGAGGGGCACAATCCCCTCCCTGGCCCTGCTGCCCAYCCTGCTTTGGATGCAGCCCAGGACACGTTTGGTCTCTGGKCTGGGAGTGCTCATGGCTGGGTCATGTCCAGCTCTCACCCAGCAGCACCCCAAGTCCTTCTCAGCAGGGCTGCTCTGATCTGTTCATCCCCAGCCTGTGTTGGTACCAGGGGTTGTCCCTGACCCAGGTGCAGCACCTYGCACTTGGCCCCATTAAAACATGAGACTCCCATGGACTCACTTCTCCAGCTTGTCCAGGTCTCTCTGGATGGACCCCATCTTTCAGCTGTGCCAACCATATCACTCAGTTTGGTGTCATCTGCAAAATTTCTGAGGGTGTACTCAATCCCTTTGTCTGTGTCATAAATGAAAATATTTAACTCTGGCCCCTGTATGGATACCATTTGTCCCTGATGTCCATCAGGATTCTGTGCCACTGACCCCTACCCTCTGGATGCCACCATCCACCAACTTTCTTATCCATCGAATAGCTGACTTATCAAATCCCAGTCTCTCCAGTTTAACAGAGAAGGATGTTGTGGGGGCCTGTGTCAAAGGCTTTATGGAAGTCCAGATAAATGACATCTGTAGCCCTTCCCTTGTCTGCTGATACAGTCAGTCTATCRTAGAAGGCCACTGAATTGGTCAGGCAGGATTTGCCCTTGGTGCAGCCATGCTGGCTGTCCCAAATTACATCTGTGTGCCTTTGCACATCATCTTCGAGGGTCTGTTCCATGATCTTCCCAGGCACGGAGGTGAGGCTGACAGGTCAATAGTTTCCAGGGTCCTCCTTTCTACTCTTGTTTTAGCTTGGGTCATTTAAGTACAGTGTTTCCCTTTTTCCGATTACCGGGGACTTCACCTGGCCGCGGAGATTTTTTCAAATGTCATGGAGAACAGCTTGGCAAATATATCAGCCAATTCCCTCTCTTCTGTACTTTCAGGTTCTTCAGGTGATCTTTACATATAGTGGCAGGGATGTTGTTTCTCCGGTTCCCATCCTCCTGTCCATCCACACAAGAGGTGTGGGAAGAAATGTTGCCCTTGAAGACTGAGGGAAAATGTTACTGAATGCCTCAACCTTCACCTTATTCATTGTTMCCAGTTTTCCACCCTTGTTTATCARAGAGGGTCGCCTTCTTGGACCTTCCCTCTCTAGTTAACCTGCCTGTAGAAGCCCTTCCTGTTATTCTTTGCATCCTTTGCCAAGTTCAATTCCAGCTTGCCTTGGGCTTCCTCACCCTGACCGTACACAGCTTGATATCTGTGCACTTCCTGGGCTGCTCATCCTAGCTTCAACTGCCTGTACCTTTGCTTCTTTCCCGTCAGTTTGACCAGCAGTTTGGTGCTCAGCCATGCCGTTCTCTTGCCTTCCTTGTCCAATTTCTTGCTCCTGGGCATTGCCAGCTCTTGTGCTCCGTGGAAGACTTCCTTGGAAGTCTGCCAGCTTTGTTCTGCTCCCTTGTCCCTGAGAGAGGACTCCCAGT